GACTTCGTGGGGCAGAGTCAGTGCTGACAAGGGGTAGGTCACTGGGGGCTGAGCAGCAGCCCCAGCCCACCCAGCCGTGCCAGGAGCACACCCAGTGTTCCCTGGGGCCAGGATCCCTTTTTACAGATGACGACCTGCCATCCTGGGAGGGGTACAAGTGTGCTGGGCTGGGCTGGTGAGGTCAAGGCGCTCTGAGGACAAGGCAGAGCTGGAGGCTGCTAGGCGAGCTGAGTCTGATCCGCACCCCCCCCCCAAGGCCAGGTGGCATCCCCGCTCCCTTGGGGCCGTTCTGGGACCTGGGGCCCCTGCACAGTAGGGCCGTCGCGGTGCCCTGGCCTCTGCCCTGACCGTCTCCCGCACCCCCCCCCCAGGCGCTGTTTGTCCTCTTTGTCCTGGCCTACATCCACATTGTCTTCTCTCGCTCGCCCATCAACTGCCTGGAGCACGTGCGGGACAAGTGGCCGCGGGAGGGCATCCTGCGAGTCGAGGTGCAGCACAACTCCAGCCGCGCGCCCGTCTTCCTGCAGTTCTGTGACGGCGGCCGCCGCGGCAGCTTTCCCGGCCTGGCTGTAGAGCCAGGCAGCCCGGAGCCTGAGGAGGACGAGGAGGAGGAGCTGGCCGTGGACATGTTCGGGAACACGTCCATCAAGGTGAGCTGGCCGGGCGTGCTGTGCCTGGGGGCGCCTGGTGAGCTGTGATTCACCTGGTGGGGGGCCCTCGCTGCGCCAGCCTGCTCCTACCTGCTCCTGCCGGTGTGGCATTGGGGGCAGGGATGGTGCTGGGCAGACTTGAGGCCTTGGGCTGTTTCCCAGCCCTTACTGGAAAGGGATAGGCCCATTTCCAGGGGCACCAAGGGCAGAAAGCATGGAGAAGGAGGCCCCTGGAGGCACTGGGCCGAGAGCTGGAAGCTGGTCCTAGCTGTCCTGGATCGGGGGGACTGGGGAATGCCCTGTTCCTGGAGACAGGCAGTGGCTGCTGGAGCGGGCAGGGTTCCGGGGGGTGTGGGCGAGGCCACGGCCCCGAGAGGAGGACGTGCTGAAGCAGTTAGGGACGAGGGTCCCGTGGTTGGTGAGGACCTGGCCAGGCATTCCCCGCTTCAGGGTGCTGACCCTTCTCTCCAGATGGGCCCAGGGGAGCGTGGTGTTGGGCTGGGGGCCTGTAGGAACTTACAGGTCAGAGACCTTCCAGCCCTGGAGGTGGGGGTGTCCCAGCGGAGGCTAGAGGTCACAGCAGCCAGGGGCGGAGTGTGTGTCCTTGGTCACCAGATGAGCTGGGACTGTGGGCCAGGCTGCTGCTGATGCCCTTCCTCTTGGCCGCCCGCAGTTCGAGCTGGACATTGAGCCCAAGGTGTTGAAGCCGCCGGGCAGTGCTGAGGCCCCGAATGACAGCCAGGAGCTCCCCTTCCCGGAGACACCCCCAAAAGGTACACCGCAGGCCCCTGGCTGGCCCGGTGGGGAGCAGGCGACTCTAGATCTTGGGGTTGGGAGTTCGAGCTCCGTGTTGAGTGTTGAGGTTTCTTTCCTTTTTTCTCTTTCTTTTTTTCGAGATTTCTATTTATTAATCTGAGGGAGCGAGTGAGAACAAGCACACACACAAGTAGGAGGAGGGGCAGAGGGAGCGCGACCAGCAGATCCCCCACCAAGCGCGGGGCTTGATTCCAGGACGCCAAGATCATGACCTGAATCAAAGGCAGACGCTTAACTGATTAAGCCACCTGGGTGCCCTGGGCAGAGAGATTTCTTGAAAAATAAAATCTTAAAAAAAATAAAAAATAGGTGGCTCAGTCATTAAGCGTCTGCCTTTGGCTCAGGTCGTGATCCCGGGGTCCTGGGACTGAGCCCTATGTCGGGCTCCCTGCTCGTGTTCCCTTGCTCACTGTGTCTCTCTTTGTTGAGTAAATAAAATCTTAAAAAAAAAAAAAAAACAAAGAAGCACCCGCATCTTGGGCTGATCAGGTGTGTGCAGCGTATCACTTCAAGGGGTCGTGCCCTGGGGCCATCCCCCGTGCAGAGGGCCCGCGGGCCTGAGTGGCCACCCTGCCTCACTTTGCCCACCTGTTAGCAGCCTGCAGGGTGGGACGGATGCCCTGGAGTCCCCAGTAACTGGTTCCCTTCTCAGGGAATCTCTGGGTGGGGGTCATGGGACCCTGACCCACCCCCTCGTTCCCCGGAGCCCACCAAGAGTGGTCGCCCAGCCCCTCAGGGAATATGGCTGGACCACGGCTCACGGGCCTTGTCCCCACAGTGTGGCCGCAGGACGAGTATGTCGTGGAGTACTCGCTGGAGTACGGCTTCCTGCGGTTGTCCCAGGCCACAAGGCAGCGGCTCAGCATCCCCGTCATGGTGGTCACTCTGGGTCAGTGTCCCCTGGGGTGAGGCGGGGGGGTCTTGGGGGCTCCCAGAAGCCCTTGGGTCCGGGCGCTGGGTCCATTTTCCGGCCGCAGGAAGCTTCCTCTGCGGCATCTCGGGCATCAGGGTCACGGCGTCGCTCGGGTGGGGGTCCTGCTGCATGCACTGTCGTGTGCCTGCTCGCAGACCCCTCCCGAGACCAGTGCTTCGGGGACCGCTTCAGCCGCCTGCTGCTGGCCGAGTTCCTGGGCTACGACGACATCCTTATGTCCAGCGTCAAGGGCCTGGCTGAGAACGAGGAGAACAAGGGTTCGATGGGCCGGGCACGGGGTGGGGTGGGGCACAGCGCGGTGGCTGGGCGGGCGCTCACGGCCGCCCCCTACCTCCGGGCAGGCTTCCTGCGCAACGTGGTGTCTGGGGAGCACTACCGGTTCGTGAGCATGTGGATGGCCCGCACGTCCTACCTGGCCGCCTTCGTCATCATGGTCATCTTCGTGAGTGCCGGGGGCTGGGGCAGGGCGGGCGTGCGGGGCGGTGCTCCCTGAGACATCCCACCGCCCTTGGCTTGCAGACCCTCAGCGTGTCCATGCTGCTCAGGTACTCCCACCACCAGATCTTTGTCTTCATTGGTGAGTCTCCCTGCCCACCAGCGGGTGGGAGGGCTGGGCTCCACCCCTCGCCCCCAAGACCCCCTGCCCACCTCGCCCAACCACCAGGCACCTCACCTGGTCTGCCCGCCCGCCGCTTTCTGCCCACAGTGGACCTGCTGCAGATGCTGGAGATGAACATGGCCATTGCCTTCCCCGCCGCGCCCCTGCTCACGGTCATCCTGGCCCTCGTAGGTGAGGACCCCTTCCTCCTGCCCCTCCTGGCCCCGGCCCCCACCCGCGCCCCGCCCGCCCAACCCCGGCCTCCCCCCAGGGATGGAGGCCATCATGTCTGAGTTTTTCAACGACACCACCACGGCCTTCTACATCATCCTCATCGTCTGGCTGGCCGACCAGTACGACGCCATCTGCTGCCACACAAACACCAGCAAGAGGCATTGGCTGCGGTGAGCACCCGGTCCCGGGGGGCGGGGGCGGGGCTGCGGGCGGCGGCTCACTGTGCCCCCCGCAGGTTCTTCTACCTGTACCATTTCGCCTTCTACGCCTACCACTACCGCTTCAACGGCCAGTACAGCAGCCTGGCCCTGGTCACTTCCTGGCTCTTCATCCAGGTGAGGAGCCTGCTTCGCTCCCCACGGGGGCGTCTGGCCTATGCCGGGTTCCGCGAGGGCCGGGGTTCTGGCTCCAGCTGCTGGCCTGACCCAGAGCCCCCGCACCCCCAGCACTCCATGATCTACTTCTTCCACCACTACGAGCTGCCCGCCATCCTGCAGCAGATCCGGATCCAAGAGATGCTGCTACAGACCCCACCGCTGGGCACCGGAGCCCCCACGGCTCGTCCCGATGACCTGAACAACAATGGGGGCACCCCAGCCGCCACCCCCGACCCTGCTGGCCAACCGCCCGCCCTGGGCCCTAGCGTGCCGGGCAGTAGTGGGGGCCCTGGTCCCGTGGCTGAGGCACCCAGCTCTCTGGTGGCTGCGGCAGCTTCGGTGGCAGCGGCAGCCAGCGGGGACTTGGGCTGGATGGCAGAGACGGCCGCCATGATCACAGACGCCTCCTTCCTGTCTGGCCTCAGTGCCTCCCTCCTGGAGCGGCGGCCCGCTGGTCCACTGAGCCCTGGTGGGGGGCTCCCCCGAGTCTCCCAGGACAGTGCCCCCTCCAGCAACTCCCTGGCAAATGACACAGCGCCCCCAGCTGCCGGGGTGAGTGGGCCCACCCCCAGCCCCACAGCCCCAGTGGACCCATCCCCAGAGGTCGGGTCCTGAGCCTTGGGCAACTGACCGCCCCCTCCCTGGCCATGCAGGCCCACTGGGTACGACCTGGCTGGAGCCCTCGGGTATCAGGGAGGCTGTCCCGGGGGACTCTTGGGGTGGCCCAGCCTGTCTTGGGTGGTGTCAGGGTCATCCGGTTTGCCCAGAGGGGGGCTTCTCTTCCCTAGTGTGGGGCCTGCCAGAGGCCTGTCCCTGCTGTTTTGGTGGGCCCCTCAGCCTGTGAATCGTGGCAGGCCAAAGCAGAGGGGTGGGGGCTCCATGGAAGGTTCCTGAAAGGGCTGTTGAAGCGTGTGAAGTGAGCTGTTCCTCAGTAGCAGAGCGGGGCAGCTCTCCAACAAGGTGAGCGCCGGCGGGGGCCACCCTCGCGGTCCCGCCCGCTCCGCTGGTGCTCACCATGCTCAGTGCCTTTTCCACGGCCCCTGACCCCAGGTGTGTGTACCAGGGCTGGGGTCCCGGGAGGGCAGAGCTCGCACCTCGGGCTCGGGGATGCCGCGCGCGGGCGCCAACATGGAGGGCGGTGGCCGGGCGCGGGGTTCCAGCCCTGCTGGGGTGGGAATGGGACAGGGCTGGTGGCCAGACGAAATCACTCGGTGAGAAATGCAGAGAGCGCTCATTCCATTCTATTTAATGCAGTGTACAAAATTGTGTTTGTATATAGAATAAACTGTTGACAGCGGCCGGAGCGTCTGTACGCGGGCGGGGGGGGGGGGGGGCCGCGGGCTTGGGGGGGGGCTTCGGCGCGGGCCGGGGGGGGGGGGGGCCCGGGCGGGGCCGGGGGGGGGGGCGCCTGCGCCGGGCAGGGGGTGCGTTCCTTGCGTCGTCGGGCGCCTTCAGGTGCTTTGGAGCAGGCGCAGAGGCCGGTCCCCGTGCCCCAGCTGGTCCAGCAGCTCGCCTCGCCGCGCCAGGGCCTGGCGGAGCCGCTCCCGCGCACTCTGGATGCGCTGCTCCAGCTCCTGCAGCTCGCCGGGACCCGGAGGGCTCGAGGGCAGCACAGCTGGCAGGCGGCCGTTGGAACACAGCCAGACCGGGCCCTCTGGCCGCCCCGCCTCCTCCGAGTCAGGCGCCGCGGCGGCTTCTGCGGGCTCCAGCAAGAAGCGCACGCGACACTCCCTCGCCATGGCCCGGCGCACCCGGGTCCAGCTCGCCGCAGACGCTGCCGGTGCGTCCTGCTGCTGGTCCTCCAGAGCCCTGGGGACGTGCGATGTTAGGGGCTGGGTCCGTACCCTCCCCCCTTCCCCGGCGCGCACACCCACTCTGCTCCTGGGGTCAGGGTCCTGGGGTGACGGAGCGGCCCTGTCCCGCGGGGGAGGTCTGGGGTCGCAGCGGTTGGGAAGGGTGGGACCCTTTACCTGGGGCCTGGCTCCTCGACTCCCGGCGGCTCTGTGTTGAGGGCGCGGTGGATTCTCTGCAAGCCCAGAGGCTCGGTCGGGGTCAGGGGATGCTGCCCGCCCCACCCCCACCCTCCACCCCCCACCCCCGGCTCGCTCCTCCGGCCGCTCACCTGGCTCGTGTGCAGCCAGTACTGCAGCTTCTTGCCCCTGCGGATGCGCGGGAGCACCAGGTGGTAGAAGACGTGCTCGCCCAGGCAGCTGAGCAGAGCGCTGCCCAGCCCCAGGCAGAGCAGCACGAAGAGTCCCGAGAAGTGGTAGACGCCCACCTGCAGTGTCTGGGGGTGACACGTGGGCACAAGCCCTTCACGGGCAGGCCCGGACCCGTGCGGAGCCCTGGCTGGGGGCGGGACCCAGGCCGGCCCCGAGAGGAGCCTGGGGCTGCGGAGCCGGATTGGGAGGCTGGCCTTGCGCGTCGGGGGTTGGGGGGCAGGTTGCCCGGGGAGCGCTGGAGCTGGGCTTTCGTAGAAGCCGGAGTGCACGACTCTGGGCAGCGAGCTTGACCACCTCACTTGAGGCCCATGCAGGCTCAGGGCCCCCCGCCCCGTGCCTAGCCCCACCCCGGGTCCCCGGCCCTCCCCACCTCTGTAACGGCGAGGACGCGCTTCCCACAAGGAACCATCCTGTACCACTTGTCGTGCAGCAAGTCGATGAAACCGGAGGACTTGTAGCGGCTGATGAACTCGGACAGGTTGGAGGTGAGCGGCGAGTTCTGAGGGAGTCCGATGCCGTAGCCTGGGGGAGGCCAGGGGTTGGGTTGGGGCCAAGCTGGACGCCGCCCCAGAGGACCCGCCCCAGGGCCACTGGTCCCGGAGGCCCCTCACCCTCCATGGCGAAAGGCTTGCCCACGGTCAGCAGTTTACAGTCGGCGTCGATGGAGACCTCGTAGTCCAGGAGCGACTTGTCCATGATGAAGGCGTTGAGCTTGGGGGGGTCGCTCCTGCGGGGGCCGGGCAGTGGGGGGAGAGGCCGCGCCCCGCCTTAGGTGCCCCGCCCCGCGCCCCCCGCATCCCGCCCCGCCCCGCCCCGCCCCCCCCGCCCACCAGGGCGGCCCCGCCCCCCGCGTCCTGCCGTCGGCCCCGCCCCAGGTGCCCCTGCCCGTCTGCCCCGCCCCGCCCCGCCAGGTTCCCCGCCCACCAGGGCGGCCCCGCCCCCCCGCCCACCAGGGCGGCCCCGCCCCCCGCGTCCTGCCGTCGGCCCCGCCCACCCAGGCGGCCGGCCCCGCCCCCGCATCCTGCCCGCCCGCCGCGCCCCGCCCGCCGCTGGGCCTCACGTGAGCATGGCGACGCCGTGCGGCGTGGTGGGCGCGCTGTGGCGCCGCATGTGCGCGTGCAGGTCGGGGAAGCTCTTTTTGATGTAGGCCTCGGCGCTGCTCTCCCACACGGTGCCCACGCGGAAGCCCTGGGACGGGTGGTGCAGCTGCGGGGTTGGGCAGCGCGTCGGCCCCGGCGCTCAGACCGGCCTGCCGCTCCGTGCAGCCCCCTCCCCCGGCTCTCACCCAGCTTCTCCAGCCGCCGCCCGGCTGGGGCACGATCACCTGGGGGCTCCTCTGGGCTCCGCGGGGTCCGGCAGCAGCCCTGACCCACCCACTCGACGCCAGGAGCTCCCCAGTCGTGGGGTCACCCGACAGGACCCACTGTCCCCCGGGGCCGAGTCACCTGGGTAAGAGCCGTTGTTCTAAACGCCCACGTGTCCATCTCCACACAGACCTGGCCCTGAACCCCAGACTTCCTCCCCTTCCCACCATGTCCTCCACGGCTCTCCTGGGCTCTCACGGGACTCTGTCCCCAGCGGACCTCTACACCTGGCCTCCTGGGTCTTCCTGCCCCAATCAGGTAGACCCTGTACTCCCTCTTCTCTCCCGAGCGTCCCGGAACCCGCCCACCGCTCAGCCCCTCAGCCCTCCGGGGACAGTCCTCTCTGCCCTGGCCTCCCCGCACAGCCCTGCAGATTCCTAACGGGTGAGTGAGCGGGTACACTGACCCAGGCCTCCGGATGTGGCTATAGCACCCCAAAAATGCCAGACCTGAATGGGAGCCTGTGGATCAATGCCGTCTAGAACGTTCTGGACTTGCGCCGTTCTCAAGTGGCCACTGAGCACTTGCAGCCGGTTAGTTTGTGGAGGTGGTGAGGGGCCGGCCCACCAGACAGCGCTGGGTCTAGGTTTCCTTACCCCTTTACAAAGGATGTGGGGCCTGGGGTGCCACAGAACAGGCTAAGCACCCCAGGACACAGCCTGATCCCAACTGTGGGAGCTGCTACTGGACAAGAAGTTTCTCCAGCCACCGAATTTCTGGGGCACGCAGTTTAACTGGGGAGGAAATTGACCTGCAGTGGTGCGTGTTTAGGACCCAGATTCAAACAAATTGTGGGCCACAGGTGGGAGATCACTGGGAAGAGGGGACCCTGATGTGTGAGACCTTCCAGAATAATTATGGTGAAACGACAAAGAATCCAGAGGCTGGGGCTGTTCTGGGGGGGAACCTGGCTGGGAGTTGATTGTGGAGCTGGAGGATGGGTTCATTCATGGTGCTCTTTGCTCCCTACTCAACCATGTTTCAAATAGGGGCGCCTGGGTGGCTCGGTGGCTTGAAGCCTCTACCTTAGGCTCAGGTCATGATCTCAGGGTCGTGGGATCGAGCTCCACATCGGGCTCTCTGCTTGGCGGGGAGCCTGCTCCCCCCCTCTCTCTCCGCCTGCCTCTCTGCTTACGTGTGATCTCTGTCAAATAAATAAAATCTTAAAAAAAAAAAGAATGCTTCAAATGTTTCATTAAAAGAAATACCTAGACTGAGGCCCACCTGGGCTCAGCTCACAGCCCTCCAGGGCCCTGAAGGAGGGAGTGGGGGAAGTTCTGTCCCAGAAGGAACTGCTCTGGACACCCTGCAGGGTGTGCCCTGTGCCTCCTCCCACTCTGCCCCTGCCCCAGGGCCTTTCACCTGCTGTGCTTTTTCTCCCAACATTCCTCCCTGATATCTACAGAAAAGTCCCTTCAATGTCACCGCCTCCCAGAGGATTCCCTCATCCCCTTTGAGAAGATGTGCCTCCCAGTACTTCCCGTGTCCTCACTCTGCCTTATTTTCTGCCTGACACTGGATAGCCACCTCACACACCACCCAGTTGGCGTGTCTTGCTTCTTGACATGTCCCCTGCAGTGTGCAGCCTTCGCCTGTTTTGTCCCAGCTGGGCCCCCAGTGCCGGCACACAGCAAACGCTCTATGAACATTTTCCACAGCAGGCAGCTGCACGTGTCTGCGTCTTGGGATGGGAGCTGGGGGAGCGGGTGACCTCCCAGCTTGGACCTCGGGGCCCCATAACCGCCCACCTTGGGGTCATGGATCCCCGACAGCTCCAGGAAGGTCTTGTCCCCGACCATGACGGCGGCCAGGTTGGCCGTGTAGCTGGACAGCACGAGCAGGCAGAAGATGGCCCACAGGTTCATGAGCAGGCGCCCCGTGGGGCACTTGGGCGTCTTGCTGGACACGGTGCGTCCAAAGAGGATGGCATAGCAGAGGTTGAGGGCCGAGGAGTAGGAGAACACGGTGGCCCGGTTCCGGCCCCGCGGCGTGAGGCCGTAGGGGCTGCGCCACTCGTACAGCGTGAGGAAGAGCGCGGTGAGGTGCAGGGCGGCAAAGACACCCAGCCACATGGACCAGTGCAGCGGCCACATGAAGGCGCCGATGGGCGAGGCCGTGTCGCGGGCCCGCACCATGATGCCCAGGCTGGTGGAGAAGAAGGGGCTGCTGAAGTCCAGCACCTGGGAGCGGGCCGAGTTGATGCTGAAGCTGGTGACAGCCATGTGCGCCCTGCCGGCCAGCAGGTCCCCCACCAGGCCGGTCCAGCGGCCGTCCCGCAGGGCGCCGTACTTGCCGTCACCCACGATGTACAGCTCGAAGTCGAAGGGCGTGTCGTCCGCCAGGCGCTCCAGCAGGTCAATGCAGTAGCCGAAGCAGCACCTGCGCAGGGCGCGGGGCACCGAGCCGTTGGCCAGCGCGGCGAACAGTGCGTCCAGGGTGGCCGAGTCGTTGGTGCCAGGGGCCAGGCACAGCTGCCCCGCGGGGCACTGCCCATCCTCGTCAGGCTCCCGGGCAAACACGAAGGGATGCTCCACCAGCGTCACCACGCGCAGCTTGGGCCGGGCTCGGGCTCCCGGCGAGGGCGGGGGCTGTGCGGGGGCGCCACCTGGCTGGGACTCCAGCTGCCCGGCCCGCCAGCTACCCACGGTGGCCCAGGTCGGGGCACCCCGCGGGTCCTGGCGCAGGCTCCACACTCGGAAGTACCGGGAGATGTGTACCTGGGAGGAGCGGCTCACCCACACGGATCCCGTGCGGCCCCGGAAGGACGTGTTGGCTAGGAACCTGGGGGGCGGGGGGCAGCGGGGGGCCAGGGTCAGGCAGCCTGGGCTGGCGAGGGGTGGGGTGGTGGTCAGGAGCCCTCCAGCCGAGCTCAACCCCCACGGGGGTCGCCTCTCTGAGCACACGGCGGGGACCACGGAGGATGCTGCTGCTGTGTCCCCCCACCAGGCCCCCTGACCAGCCGGGCACCCACGTCGTGAACCAGTGACAACGTCTCTGGTCCAAAGCCAACAACTGCCCACTTGAGACGCCTGGGTGAAGCCACCTGGTGCTGGGACGCTGTCCACCCTGCAGGGCTCCTGTGGGATCAGGCAGGAACGCATCCCTGCCAGCCTCACCCGTCCCCTGCCGCTGTCCTTCATGTTTCTCTCCCAGTACCCTGAGCTCCTCGCCCGACTCCTTCCTCCGGCTCTGCGTCTGCCCCGGCATACAGCAAGTATCCCATGCAGATGCTCCCACGGTGCCCAGACGGAGGCGAGTGGATGTGGGGCCCGGACACCCCCCCCACCGCATACACACGACGGGGTCCTCACTCACCGCGCCAAGAGGCGGCCGGAGGACACGGGCCCGGCCAGCTGCTGGCCGCTGCAGTTGACCATGGTGGGCAGGAGGGCGTGCTCCGGCTCCACCCGCGCGGCATGACCCAGGGCTCGCACCACCAGCTCCACAGCGTCGTGAACGGCGGCCTCCAGCGGCGGCCGGGCCACCTCGCCCAGGGCCAGCAGCCCCAGGGGCAGGCCCTCGGAGGGCAGGACCTCGGTGGACAGTGGCGTGCCCAGCAGCCAGTGGGGAGGGCCGGGGGGTGCGGCCTGCAACACCTGCCTCGCGTGGGCGGGGCTGCAACCCAGGAGCACAGCCGCAGGGGCAGGGGCCGAGCCCCCTGCTGGAGCCCCCAGGGGGGCCAGGAGTGCCTGCAGCCCCTTGGCGCCTGTGTCTGGCCGACTCAAGTCCAGCACCAGCTTCGGGGCCCTGCCGGCCCGGGCTGTCCAGAGGGCCACCAGGCCAGCAGGGTCCCGCACACGGCAGAGCACCAGGCTGGCCTCCTCCCAGGCGTGTGCCCGCAGCAGAGACACCAGCACGTCAAGCAGCGTCTCCAGGGGGCTGGCCCAGTCCAGCTGTAGGTGGAACGGGTTCTGGCAAAGGGGTGTGTCACAGTTAGGACTGGCGACCTGGGACCCACCATACCCTTCCCACACCCATCAACAGGTGTTCAATAAAGAGACGTCACCTTCAAAACTGGACAGCGTGCCTGCCCCCTCCAGCCCACCCCTGCTCTAAACCTTCTTTATCTCCCACTGCCATCCACACAAAGCCCAGCCTCCTTGGCTGGGGCTGCTGTTTAATCCCTCCCGAAAGACGGAGTTACAAGGGCAGAGCCTCAGTTCCTGGAGCCGGCAGGAGAGGGCGCCACGGGCCTGGGTTTGGGTTCTGCATCTTCTCCACAAGGGCGGGGGTGGGGGGGGCAGGGGGCTTTGACACTGGGACAGCTGGGTTTGTGAGACCCCAGGCTTCCTCTAGGGACCCCATCTCCCCTCCCTGAGGCGAGGGAAGCTCTGGAGGGGGCTTCAAGGTGGGTTTGAAGGGAGGCCCCTACTCTTCCCCATATCCCTACCCTGGGCCCCTCCTTGCTGTCCAGGGAGGGGGTCTTTCCCAGGGACACCCAGAGCCCTGTCCGTCACCCTTTTCTCCTCCTTATCCCATCTTCTCCTTATTCAGGCCCCAATCCAGGCCCAGGGCTGGAACCAAGGAGAGTAAACTCCAGAGCCCGGAGCGCCGCGGATGGAGAGGTTTGAGTGACAGCCCACCAGGAGGAGGATGGGAGACCCTCCAGCAGCCAACGGAACTGCACCCCCCAGAGATGGAGCCTGGAGACCTGCTTCCCCTTGAGCCCTCGGAGGGGGGGGGGAACTGGGAGAAGCCCTCCAGCGGGCAAGGGACCCTGCTCCGCATGGCGAGGGCTCCTCTGACCGTAAACAGACGGTGGCCAGCCAGACTCCGTCACCGAGGTCCAGGAAACGGGTCTGCACGGGAGTTGCGTGCCCCGAAGGGACCCTCGTGTGGGTTTCGCCATCCCGGGTCCAGAAGCATCTCACGGTCCCGTCGCTGGTTCGGGTTCCCTCGCTCTGGGGGCATCCGGGGCCCAGGGGTCCAAGTAGGTCCCTCGAGCCGCCCTGGGGACTCCCTCTGGACTCCTGGGCATCCCGGGGGCGGGGGATGGGGGCCTCCTGTCTCCGCGGTCCAGAATCCGGTCCCGTGCGCCCCGGCGACTCTGGCGTCGGACCCCCGGTCCCCACGCCCCAAGGGCGTCCCGGCGCTCCCCTCCTCCGGATCCCTGCGTCCCCGCGTACCGGGACCCCGAGGGGCGCGCGCGCCTCCCGCCGCAGCACGCTGAGCACGGGGGTCTCCGTGGCCGCCGCCAGGAAGTGCAGCTGCAGCAGCTCGGGCCGCGCCTCCGGGAAGGCCAGCACCGCCGCCACGCCCGGGGCCGCCAGCGCCTGGCACAGGCCGCGGGCCAGCGAGGCCGGGTCGCGGGCAGGGGGCGCGGCGGCCGCCAGCTCCAGGCTCAGGTTGTGCGGCAGCCGCGACGCCAGGGCGGCCCCGGCCAGGGCGGCGAGGACGCGGGCGCGGGCGGCGGGCGCGCGGGGCAGGAGGGCGCCCAAGCGCACCGAGCCCCCCAGGCGCGCCAGGACGCCGCACGGCTCCGGGTGGCCCCTGGCGGGCCCCGGCCCCAGCGCCAGCGCCAGACAGAGCCACAGCGTCCGCACAAACTCCATCCCAAAGTTGCCGGCGCCGCGGCGGGGTGGCACCGCGGGCGCGGGCGCGCGGGAGGCGGGATCTCTGCGTGGCCCCGCAGCTCGCCGGCCCGCCCCGCGGGGCTGGCGCCTCCCTCACGGCACGCCACGCCGCGGCGACCTGCGCCCTCGCCCCTCCCGGCCCCTTCCGATGTCAGCCACGCACTAGGCAGGAGCGGGACCCACTGCCCAGGGCAGGAAACTGAGGCTCACTCGGCCACGCCGCGCGGGGGCGGGGGTGGGGTGTGGCCCCTGGCCACGGCTCTTCCCAGCTCCCTGCCAGGGGAGTTAGCTCCCCATTCCACAGACGAGAAAACCGACGCTGAGCCCCAGGAAGAGATTTTGTGTCAAATTCGGTCCTCACGCGCATCCCTGTTCCATCCCAGGAGCCCCCATGCCCGCTCCAGCCTGAGAACATGGCCCATGGCTGTCAGGGAAACTGCGGCCCAGGAGGGGTACGCTCGCCTCCGTGGTCACACAGCAGTGCCGCCCATCTCCACGGCTACCTAGACCAACCCACTTGAGTGCGCTCTGACATCGTGTGCACCCTGGGGAAACTGAGGTAGATCATGTCTGATGGGAACCTACAGGGTAGATCTCCTGCCTCCAGCTGGCAGCAGGGAACTCGGAACAGAGAACGCCTCGCCTCCTCACCCTTCAGGACCCAGTGCCAAATGCCCCTGCTCTGAAAAGCACTTCCTGCTTGTCCCCAGGACTTCCTCTCCACCCCACTTGCCTACAATCATCACACGCCCGGTCAAATTTCTGTAACTTCTTCTGCTTTCTTTTCTAGTGGCCAACTTCTCCACTCGACTGTGGGAGGGCAAGGGTGGGTCTGGCTTCTTAATGCTCTGTCTCCAGTGCTTGCACACAGTAGGCACTCTGTAATTGCTTGTTGCTTGAGCCCAAAGACACTTAGGCACTGAGCTCGAGCTCCAACAAGGACACCATCCACTGCTCCAGAAGCTTCTGCAGCCCCCTGACAGCTACGGTCCTCCAAGCCTTCTGTGATCTCTGCACCTGCGGGCATTGAACAACCCGGGTTCTTCTTGTGGCCCTGGCAACAGCAGGTGCTGAGGAAACACTGGCTGAGCCCGGCCCAGCAGCGCCCTGCGCGGACTCCCCTCATCCCATCTGCTCCAGAGGGGCGAAGCGGAGAAAATCAAGAGGGTCCCGAGATCCCTCTGGGAACAGGGCAGCCGCTCTGGCACAGAACCTTCCAGGGCTGATTACTCACACACACACAGCCGTCTCCTTTTGGAGCCAGCACTCGAGAGGCCGGGATAAAACTCCACCGGATGAATAAAAATGCGGACTGACTGCCAGCCAACAGCAGGGATCCCAGTTTGAGGTGAGTCAGGGATGCTGCGTGGCTGGGTTCTGGCTGCTAAGGGCACAAAGTCCAGCCACCTGGCCAGGCCTCCCAGGATGGGGAGGGTCCCGATTGCCACCCCCCTACCTGAGGCCAGTGTCCTGCCAGGGGCCCCTCACACCAGGGAGACTGACCGCGTGCCCTGGTCCTGGCCAAGTCCTCAGGGACCACCCGGGGCTCCTCCCACCCTGCAATGACATCCCTCTGACAGCAGGACTCCCCAGAATTAGAGACCCGTGTGGCTCAGCGACACTTGGTCAGCAAACACTGCTGCCTTGGTTCTGGGCGGCAGTGGAGCACAGGCCTCTTCTGCTTGCCCCTGGACCCCCCCCCCACCCCGTCAGAGGCAGTGAGGAAGGAGCTGGACTCTCCAGGGACCCAGACCTGGGATGGGCTCCCTGACCGCTGCTATGCCTCAGTTTCCCTACATTTACAAGCTAATTGTTCCTCTCCCAGCTGCAATGCATATTAAACAAGTGAATACACAGAAGGTGTTTCCCCAATTGTGTGAGACACACATAAGGAAATCTGCCACCTCAGCCGGCTCTGAGCACGCGGCTCCGCCGCCGCAGGAAGCACACTCGGTCCTGCCACCAGCAGGTGGCCCGGTCCTGCCACCAGCCCCGCCCTCCGACTCCAGAACTTCCCATCCCCCACACGGAGACTCTGTCCCCACAAAGCAGGGACTCCCCATCCCCGCCCCAGCCCCCACTCCCACCCTCTCCTCTCTGTGTGTGCGGACGGAACTCCTCTGGGGCCCTCCCGGGAGTGGGGTCCTACGGGACGGGGACGGGTCCTTCCGGGTCTGGCTGCTCTCGCTGAGCCCCGTGTCCTCGGGGTCCCTGCGCGTCATGGCAGGGGTCAGGGTCTCTCCCTTCCTGAGGCTGGACCGTGCTCCCACGTGTGGTTGGACCGCAGTGTGTGTGTCCATCTGTGGATGGACACTGGGGTGCGGTCCCCTTTGGGTGATTATAAAACTGCTGTTGTCCACATGGAGTGCAAACACCTCTGAACCCTGGCTTCTGTTCCTTTTGGGGGAGTATCCAGAAGTGCGCCTGGGAGACATGGTGATTCTCCACTCTGCCCGTATCACGTCCCCCCTCCCGCTCCCCCAAGCCCAAGGATACGGCTGCTCCTCTGCCTGCGGTCCGAGGGGTGGCACGGCCAGCACACACAGGACACCTGCGACCGTCGGGCATTGCTGGTGTCTCCCCACTGGCCATGACTGCCCGTGATTGGGGGTCAGACTGCACTTCCACAAGACATGGACACGATCCTGTCGGGAAGAGCAGGCGCCCTGCTGGACGCCAGCTGTGCATGGGCTCCCCCAGACCTAGAGAGGGTATATCCCTTACCCATGAGGAAACCGAGTCTGGGGCTCAGGGGTGGCATGCGCAAGGCCGTGTGGTGACTGGATGACATCAGTGGGCCCTGCCCCCTGCACGTCTGGGCATCCAAACTCCTCCCGCTGTGCCACAGAGGGAGCACGGGCAGCCTTCCAGGCAGGCACCAGAGACCGTCCGCATGGTGACATGCCAGGCCGGCCAGGTGTCCCCTACTGCCCTCAGGCTGGAGTCAGATCCCAGCACCCCCATCCCCAGGAACCAGGAGCCCCACAGTCTCCTCGGCCCCCAGGTGCAGGGTGGGACATGGTGACACAGCTGGGGGGGACCTCAGACGAAATCCTCGGCATGAGCAGGGGGGCACGGCACCCCCAAAGGTCGAAATCCCCAGCTTGTGTCACGGCCCCTGCCAGCCCCCCTGGGCACCAGGCCCCCAGAATAAGACACACGTCTCCTACCAAAACGTTTAATGATGGAAGCCGCGTGGGCAGCCGAGGCCACGGGCACCGGGGGGATCAGGGAGCCAGTCTCAGCCACACCTGAAACCCTCCCCTACCTTCCAGACCTGGGCACCAAGCAGTGAGGACTGAGCTCCACCAGCAGATGGGAACACGGAGGCCCCGTGCTCGGGGAAGGGAACGGAGCGCCAAGCCCCCAGCCGTGTGGGCTGGCACTGCCAGGACCCAGCCTGCCCCTCGCTGCTGTGACCCCCTCCCCAGCCTGGCCTTGAGCAGCCGCTCCATGTGTGGTGGGGCTTTTGGCGTGATGGCCCCGTTAGCCAGCTAGACCCCTCACCTGATGGGGCAGGCCCCCTCAGGCCCCACCTGGGCTGCTGTGCGGCTGGACCACCGGCTGGGGTGCAGAGCCCGAGAGCACAAACCCAGCGTGGACGAGCTCTAGCCGCAGCTGCAACCACACGGAGTTTCTGGATCATTGAGCCAAGCTGTTAGTCAGGGACAGCTTTCTGGAAGGTTCCAAGGATTGCTTTGGGGCCCATGCGTCTGGGCTGGACTCCAGGGACTGGCTGGCTGCGGGTCACATCCCTAGCGCAGTACGGACACCTGGCCTCCCTCTGACCTTTCGCGCCAACAAGAAACACTTTTGCTGAGCGGGGTAGGCACGCATCCCTCTGGAGGACCCTGGCCCAGGACTGTCCACCTGCGAGCCAGCTGCCCTGACTCAGGTTGGGGGGACCCATGGGAGGCTACTGGAGGAACGGGACTGAAGGGACCACAGTGCGCTCTCTGAACCACGCGCCCCCCCCCAGCGCCCCCTCCCACTGAGCGTGGCCCGGCCCTCCTGGGGGAGCCATGGCCCTGGGGAGCCGGCAAGGGTCTGGAAGTCTGAGAACCGTGGCTTCTGGGTCCTGCCACAGGTCCTGGTGAGCGCGGGGGCCGCCCCGTGGCACAGAGATGAGCCCAGAGAAAAGGGGCTTTTAGTCTTTTTGTTAAAAACAGAACAGCACCAAAAGGCCCCGCGGAGCACGGTGGCCGAGCCCAGAGAGCACGGCCCCTCGCGGGGCGAGTGCTCCCAGCCCGCGGCTCACTTGGCCGGGCGCGTGATGACGCGCGTGGAGAAGTCAAACAGGTCTCGGTTGACTTTGCGCAGGTTCCGCACCTCGTCCTCCAGCTCGGCCACACGGACCCGCAGCTGGTCCTGGCCACCCAGGACGCTCTGTGGAGGGACAGGGGCTCAGAGGCCGGGGAGCCGGGGGAGCCGTCCCCACGCCAGCGCGGGACTCGGGCTCGCCAGCCCCTGCCAGCCCCGCCAGCCGCGCCCACCTTCTCCATCGTGCTGCTCATCACCGCGTGTAGCCGTTCCGCCCGCTCCAGGTGGCTGGGCTCCGAGCCCTGTGGCACAGGACGCTCCCTGTCAGTGCCCAGGGGCCCAGGGCAGCGCACCCCTGGGAGGGAGACGCCTGCCCGACACCTGCCCACTACAGGGGAGACAGGTGAGGAGCCCCCACCACGCGGGGTGCGGAACCGGGGCTCTGTCAAGGCTGCGAGCTCCAACCCCCCATGCTCCCGTCTGCTCCCGCTGAGGACTCTGCCCGACAAGGCCCGGGGGCAGGGGCGCTCGGAGACCAAGGTCAGGCAGGCTCCCAATGGCAGGCCAGTCGGTCGGCCTGTGCCTCCAGCCCCGGGCACAGCCTGCCGGCCCAGCCCAGCCCAGCGACACGGCTGATTGCTGCCGCTGCGGCCGGGAGGCGGTCTGTGTCCCGCTGGACAGCGTCTGGGCACGCGGCCCTTGGCTGGCAGCCGGGTGCTCCGTGGAGCCAGACGCCGGGCTCTCTCAGGACAGCTGTGGCCCCTTGCCGAGAGGCTCATGGGGCTCCGGGCACGGAGACCGCGGAGCACCGGTGCGGCCCAGAGACAGGCAGGGGCCCAGGGCCTGGGGGGCAGATGGGCGTTCCGTGGGGACCCCCTGGGGTGGGTGCCAGGGGTACCAGCGCCTTCCCATCAGGCTCCGCTCCCTGCTCTGCTCCCTGGGGTGCGCGTCCACCGTCCGCTCTGTGCTCCCTGGCTCCTCCCAGAGGAGGACTCAGTTGCCACCCTGACCCTCGCACAACACCCCGAGCAGCACTCGGGGGACGTCCCTGGGGGACGGGGCCCACCTGCTGGTGGAGGCCCAGGCGCAGCGTGAAGCCCCCACGGTGCGGCTCGTCCCCATGCTCAGCGCCCAGCAGGTGCCTGTTGAAGTGCGGCAGGGGCAGGCCCGGCCGGAAGTCCGAGCTCAGCATGCTGACCGGTGCCAGCATGATGGCAGCG